GATTTGCATTTCCCGAATGGTGAGTGATGTTGAGTATTCTTTCATGTGTCTGTTGGCCATTCGTTTATCTTCCTTTGAGAAATGCCTATTTAGCTCTTTTGCCCATGTTTTAATTGGGTTACGTGTTTTTTTGTTGTAAACTTGTTTCAGTTCCTTGTATATTCTGGATATTAATCCTTTGTCAGATGTATATTTGGCAAATATTTTCTCCCACTCTGTTGTCTTTTAACTCTCTTTATTGTTTCTTTTGCTGTGCAGAAGCTTTTTAGGTTGATACAGTCCCATTTGTTTATTTTTCTTTGGTTGCCCATGCTTTTGGGGTGGTATTCATGAAGTCTGTGTCCAGTCCTACTTCCTGAAGTGTTTCTCTTGTGTTTTCTTTAAGAAGTTCTGTTGTTGCGGGGTGTATATTTAATTCTTTAATCCATTTTGAGTTTATTTTAGTATATGGTGAGAGGTATGGGTCTAGTTTCATTCTCCTACATATGGATATCCAGTTATCTCAGCACCATTTGCTGAAGAGGCAGTCTCTTCCCCAGTGTATAGGCTTGGTGCCTTTGTCAAAGATCAGATGGCTGTAGGTGTGTGGGTTGATATATGGATTCTCTATTCTATTCCATTGATCAGTGTGTCTGTTTTTATGCCATGCTGTTTTGGTTATTATAGCTTTGTAGTATAGTGTAAAGTCAGGTAGTGTTATGCCTCCAGCTTTATTTCTTTTGCTCAACATTGTTTTGGCTATGCGTGGTCTTTTGTTATTCCATATAAATGTCTGGATAGTTTTTTTTTTTCCCATTTCTGATAAAAATGTCATTGGAATTTTGATGGGGATTGCATTGAATTTGTATATCACTTTGGGTAGTATGGACATTTTCACAATGTTGATTCTTCCAACCCAAGAGAATGGGATATCTTTTCCATCTTCTTGTGTCCTCTTTCATTTCTCTCAGCAGCGGTTTGTAGTTCTCAGTATAGAGATTTTTCACATCCTTGGTTAACTCAATTCCTAAGTATTTTATTTTTTTGGTGGCTATTGTAAATGGCAAGCTTTCTTAATTTCTCTGTCTGCATGTTTACTATTGCAGAACAGAAATGCTACTGATTTTTTATGTTGATTTTGTATCCAGCAACATTGCTGAAATCATTTATCAACTCCAAGAGTTTTTTTGTGGAGGCTTTAGGCTGTTCGATATATAGGGTTATGTCATCTGCAAAGAGGTACAGTTTGACTTCATCTTTTCCAGTCTGGACGCCCTTTATTTCCTTCTCTTCTCTGATTGCTCTAGCTACTACTTCCAACACTGTGTTGAATAGGAGTGGTGAGAGTGGGCATCCTATTCTAGTGGGCATCTAGTTCCTATTCTTAAAGGAAAAGCTTTCAGCTTTTCCCCATTCAGGATGATATTGGCAGTGGGTTTATCATATATGGCTTTAATTATGTTGAGATACTTTCCATCTATACCTAACTTATAGAGAGTCTTTGTCATGAATGAGTGTTGAATTTTATCAAATGCTTTTTCAGCATCTATTGAGATGATCATATGGTCCTTGTGTTTGATTTTATCGATGTGGTGTATCACATTTATTGATTTGCGTATGTTGAACCAACCTTGCATTCCTGGGATGAATCCCACTTGATCGTGGTCTATAATTCTGCATATGTGTTGCTGTATTTTGTTAGCTAGTATTTTACTGAGGATTTTTGCATCTATATTCATCAAGGATATTGGCCTGCAGTTTTCTTTTTTAGTTGTATCTTTGCCTGGTTTTGGTATCAGAGTGATGTTTGTTTCATAGAATGAATTTGGGAGAATTCCTTCTGTTTCAATCTTCTCGAATAGTTTGGAGAGAATTGGTATTAATTTCTCTTTAATGTTTGGTAGAATTCTGCTATGAATCCATCTGGTCCTGGGCTTTTCTTTGTTGGGAGCCTTCTGATAACAGCTTCAATCTCTTTTCCTGTTATTGGTCTGTTCAGATTTTCTACATCTTCTTGGCTCAGTTTTGGTAGCTTGTGTGTGTCCAGAAATTTATCATTTCCTCCAGATTTTCAGACTTGTTGGCGTATAGTTGTTTACACTAGTATTGAATGATTCCTTGTATTTCAGAGTTACGAGTTGTAATATAACTTTTCATTTCTAATTTTTGTTATTTGGATCTTCTCTTCTTTAGTTACCGTTACTAATGGTTTGTCAATTTTATTTATCTTTTCAAAAAACTAACTTTTTGATTCATTGATCTTTTGTATTGTTTTTTGGGTTTCAATTTCATTAAGTTCTGCTCTGATCTTAATGATTTCTTTCCGTCTGCTAAATTTGGGTTTGGATTGTTCTTGTTTTTCCAATTCTTCAAGGTGAAATATTAGGTTGTTCACTTGCCATCTTTCCATTCTTCTGAAGTAAGCATTTAATGCAATAAATTTCCCCTTTAGTACTGCTTTTGCTGTATCCCACAGGTTTTTGTATGATGTATCATTATTTTCATTCGTTTCAATAATTTTTTTGACTTCCTGTTTGATTTCTTCTTGGACCCATATGTCATTAAGTAGCATGCTGTTTAATTTCCATGTGTTTGTATAGTTTCCAGAATTTCATTTGTTATTGAAAGTCTATTTTATCATATATAAGAATAGCTACTCCAGCTCGTTTTCCATTTCTTTTTGCGTGGTCCTTTCACTCTTAGTCTGTGTGAGTCTTTATAAGTGAGGTGGGTCTCTTGAAGGCAGCACCTAGTTGGGTCCTCCTTTAAATCCAGTCAGCCAGTCTGTGTCTTTTGATTGGGGGATTTAATCCTTTTACATTAAGAGTTGTTGAAAAGTGTTGATTTAATCCTAGCATTTTATTGATTTTTGTTTGGATGTCTTCGGTGTCTTTTGTTCCTTTCTGATTTACTGTTTGTTTTCTGTATTTGTTGGTTCCTTGGGTTGTAGGTAAACTTTTTTTTTCTCTTCATTGTTAGCATTTCAATTTTACTAGTAGTTTTTAATTTTTCTTGAGTTTTTATTGCAGTGGTAGTTATTTTTCAGGTACCAAACCCAGTACTCCCTTGAGAATTTCTTGTAAGGGCGGTCGTGTGGTAGTGAACTCCCGCAGTTTTTGTCAGAGAAATATACTATTTGCCCTTCATTTTGGAAAGATAACCTGGCAACCTCTGTCCTTTAGTATTTTGAATATATCATCCCATTCCTTTCTGGCTCTTAGGGTTTGTGATGAAAAGTCTGATGTTAGTCTGATTGGGGCTCCCTTACAGGTGATTTGATGCTTCTCTCCTGCAGCTTTTAAGATTCTCTCTTTGTCTTTGAGTTTTGCCAATTTGTCTATAACATGTATTGGAGAAGACCTTTTTGCGTCGAATACATTTGGGGATCTTTGACCTTCCTGAATCTGAAGATCTGTGTTTTTTCCTATACTTGGGAAGTTTTCTGTCACTATTTTGTTGAATATGTTTTCAATGCAATCTCCTTTTTCCTCCCCTTCTGGAATACCCATGACTCAGATATTTGAGCGCTTAAGTTTGTCTGATATCTCTCTTAGATTTTCTTCAGTATTTTTAATTTTTTTTTCTTTTTATTTTTTGTCTGCCTTTGTTATTTCAAACAGCCCACCTTCAAGGGCAGAAGTTCTCTCTTTTGCTTCTGCAAGCCTGCTTGTTAAACTCTTTGTTGTGTTTTTTATTTCTTTGAATGAATTCTTCAGCTTGGCCAGCTCTGCTACATTCTTTTTCAGGGCATTGATTTCCTTGTACATTTCTTCTTTCAGGTCCTGTATAGTTTTCCTTGTTTCATCGTGTTGTCCAGCTGAGTTTTCTTGTATCTCATTTAGTTTCCTTAGAATTATCACTCCAAATTCCTTGTCATACATTTCAAGGGCTTATTCTATAGGATCTAGAGCTTGAGAGTTATTGCCTTTTGGTGGTGTACTTTCTAGATTTTTTATGAAAAAATCTACCAGAAATATGTTCTGGTATCTTTGATGTTTAGTCATTGTGGCAGGGGATTTCATGGTCCACTGTTTGGACACTGTTGTCTGGCTAGGATGCTGCTGGGGCTGCCAATTTGGTATGGTTGCCTCAGTGTCTGCTCGGTTGCCCACTGGTGCCTTGGGTGCATGGTTGCCTTGGGTCTTGGGCCTCCCCGGGGAGGCGCCTCTCCAGTCAGCATGCACTTGGCTGGGCTGGGGATGGAGTTGGGCGGCAGCAGCGAGGTCTATCTGCTGGGTTGCGCTCTGGCTCTGCAGGACGTGTGGTCTCCGTGGATCTTCCACTTCTTCCGATGTGAAAGCCAGTTTCTAATGTTAACTCTTTATTGCTCTGGAGAGGTTGACCTATCTCACTTAATTCACCCTTAAAGCATGGGGAAATACAGGGTAACAATAATAGATTGTATGTGCTTGTGCTCAGTGTCTCACTGGACAACTGAAACATAACAACACTGGAGCTGGACTTTGCCATGGGATTGCTCTGTATGTTAATTCAAATTCATTGGTGTAGTTACAGGGAAAACTGTTGATTAGAGTCAAGGGAAGGTATCCCTGTTATGGAATTCCTTTTTAGCAGTTCTGTGCACTGTTGTTTGGTTGTTAAGACATTTAGACCTAAGGTTCTTTCTTTTTAGTGCCTCTGTATTTGTGGTCATCTTTCTGGGACCACTTACTTAATTTAGTTTAACTTAGACCCTAAAGGTTAGAATTCTGTGGATTGAATTACTTGGGTGTATTTTGCAAACTTCTCCTGCACTTTTTAGTAAATAAGACAATATAAAATTATTACTTTTCAACATGAAGTGTTTTCTTTAGGGTAATGACATTAAGGATAAATTTTATCTTATTTTTCTCTCATCTTGTTTCTATTATTTCAGTAAAAAATCCGTGGGTTTTTTTCCCTTTAAAAAAAAAAATTTAATTTATCTTCTTTTCAGTAGGTGTATTTACATTTAGTAGATATACAAGGATGGTTATTGGTTAACTGTAAACCTAAAAAGAGTGTTATATGTTTTTATCTAGATCCCAAGGAAGAGATAGAGGAAGAAGACGATTCTGCCCTCCCTCAGGAAGTTTCCATTGCTGCAACTAGGCCTAGCCGAGGCTGGCGCAGTAGTAACAGGACATCTGTTTCTCGCCATCGTGACACAGAGAATACCCGAAGCTCTCGGTCCAAGACTGGTTCGTTGCAGCTCATCTGCAAGTCAGAACCAAACACAGATCAGCTTGATTATGGTACAGTGCAAGTAGAGTTTGGTTACTTAGTAATCAGGTGTTTTTTGATTTTAAATGTAATATTGAACATTTACCTAAACAGCTTAACTTTCAGGGACAGATGTGGTAGTATAGGGAGGTTTTCGTTTGGACAATTTGCAGATATTCTTTTGTATAATTACCCAATGTAATAATTTGATTTGAATGTCTTGGCTGCAGAGAAAAAAATATCTTATATCTACATAAATAAAGGGTTTTTTTCTTATTTTATTTTTCCAGATGTTGCAGAAGAGCATCAGTCTCCAGGTGGCATTAGGTAAAAAACTTTGTATTTCATATTTAAACCTTTGGGGACATAAAGTACAGTCACATTAAATGATTCAGAAGTTAGGGGCCTGCCCGTGGCTCACTCGGGAGAGTGTGGTGCTGACAACACCAAGTTAAGGGTTAAGCTCCCCTTACCGGTTATCTTTAAAAAAAAAAAAAAAATGATTCAGAAGTTTTCTATCTGAATTGATTTTGAGCTGTAAGAGGAATTAACTTCAGTTTCGATATTTAGATTCCACATTGATCTTGAATAGAGCTTTAACCAGATAACCTTTAGTTACATAGTTCAGAAACCTTGTCTTGAGTACCTTCTGTGTTCAGCTTAGTCTGTGCTAGGTACTAATGTGAAAAGTGAGTGTTTTGACCAGGATTTTAAAGGGGCAGCATATCTAGGATTTATGTATTTTTAGTTCCAATTATTGTTCTTTAAGATAAAGAAGGCTAGATTGTGGTTCAACTAGATCATAAGAGTAAAAATTATAGATAATGTGAAATTTTAGCTACCTCTAAATAAATTACTAAATAAAATCCAGCCAGAAATGATTCTTACAACCAGAATTTCTCATTTCGATATTTGCTTATTTTCAGTAGTGATGAGGAAGAGGAGGAAGAAGAGGAAATGTTAATCAGTGAAGAGGAAATACCATTCAAAGATGACCCAAGAGATGAGACCTATAAACCCCACTTAGAAAGGCATGTCTCAATGAAAAATAAGTAGGAAAGCACTGTTGCATGCTTTGGTTTTGTGTTATTGCCAAACAAATGCGTATAGACTTAATTTTAAATGAGTAATTAATTAGCATTTGTTTTGCAAATCTAACATCTTATCACTTCCTCATACATGTTTTATCTTAACAGAGTATCGTGAATTCCCTGAATACTTAGAATGTTTTACTTGTCTTGTTTTTCTTTATACCTATGGTGAGGTTTGATTCTCAGGAATCTTTATCCGGAGGGGACAGGGGAGTGTTCATTCCATAGGCAACAAATATAGTTATAAATACTGTGCATGTGAGGAACAGTTGGTGAGAAATCACATTTCATAAGCTGAGGATCATAATTTTATAATAAATCAATGATTACCCTAAGATTTATTAACCTGTTGTCATAGTCTTCCTTGAAAAGTTTCTTTGTGGGTTACCATTGTTGAACTGCATTTGTGTTTTTAGGGAAACCCCAAAGCCACGGAGAAAATCAGGAAAGGTAAAAGAAGAGAAAGAGAAGAAGGAAATTAAAGTGGAAGTGGAGGTGAAAGAAGAAGAGAATGAAATTAGGGAGGATGAGGAACCTCCTAGGAAGTGAGTAGGCTATTATAACTTAAAATGGAAATCTAACAGATTTTGAAGCCACCAGTGGAACAAAGGGTGGGAATTTGAGGAGGGATGTTGACATATACATAGTTCAAAATATACTTTTTTAACTTAAAAAAATTTGCCTCAAGTAGCTGACAGTTTCATTGGAGAGAGACTTCTCAGAAGTTTGAAGTGTTTAATTTTAATTCAAAGCAATACTTAATTCCAAATGAACGGGGAAGACAATAGCTATAGGGAAGCAGAGGGAGTAGAGACAACAAGAAAAAGCATGGCAGATGTGGGTTCTCAGAAGGGCAAATAAGGCAAAAGATGTAATAACCTTAATCAGGTAAAACTTTGCCTAGCAACCATTTCCCATTGCAGATAAAAGATTTTAAATGTTTAGGCTTTTTGGTTCTCCTGGAAAGAGAGTATATATTTATATTCTTAGGGTTTTTTTTTTTTTTTTTTGATAATAGACTCTTTCATTCTGCTTTTTAAATTAAGGTAATAGACTTTTCACTATAACAGCTCTTCAAGTAATAATATTGAAATTTCTCCAAAGCTTACGTAATCATAGTTTAAACAAGGTTAACATTTAGTTTGTGAGTGCAGACTGATTTGAGAGTGAAATTACTTCAGAGGAAAATCCTGCTTGATTTGCCAGATATGTCTTTGGTTTTATGTATTCTGGGCTATCCTTTGTGTCTGCCACCTGCTCTTTGGAGCTGAGTATGTTTTCAGCCATTCTTTACTCTATAAGCTTCAGTCTGGAATATGTGGGCAATTACTCTGTCTTTAATTATAGGAGAGGAAGAAGGCGAAAAGATGACAAAAGTCCACGTTTACCCAAAAGGAGGTGAGGAATTAATGCTCCTATTGTTCTGTACCTTATTTCTAGTCCTAGGCACGTTAGTCATTTAGCCTTCATTTTAATACTGCAAGAATGGCTACTCAAAAATTTCACAAAAGCAATTTCATTAATGTTCTCGATGCACTGATACTGTGTTTTTATTTTCATTGCAGGATCTTGAAGTTTCTAAAAATCTTAGTACTTTCTCTTTACTTTTGGGGATTGGTAGTTTATTTTATGCTATTTTTAAACTGTCAAACATTTGGCAATTTCTGGTTACTTCTAACACATTCTGTGCAAGCCATATACTAGAAAAGAGACTTTAATTCTTCATACTCTAAAGTAGCTATTCCCGATAGTACAGTTTAAGTTAAAGGCCACTGTGCAAAATTCCACTTTTCTGTTGCTCACTTTTCTCTTATATTTTGATAATAGAAAAAAACCTCCGATCCAGTATGTTCGTTGTGAGATGGAGGGATGTGGAACTGTTCTTGCTCACCCTCGCTATTTGCAGGTCAGTGAAGTTGTTATGTTCCACTACTGGTTTTCATACTCTATAAGACTTTATAATTTGTGGACTTGTGTAGGGTTTATCTCTAACATACAATGTCAAGAAAAAAATCCTTGTTTAAAACATGAGATTACTTTAGACATTCTGTTTTTTAATGTGACTGAGAAACTGAGCTCAAATAGATGACTTTCCTTGGAATCTTGGAATATTAAAATATTTCCCATTGTGATATAAATACTTCTGATTTATGAAAGTAAAAAAGGTGGTTGTAAAAATAGATCAAGACACAGAGTAACCAATTTTAGTTTAATGTGTATTAGAAAATAAGTAAGATAACTCAGACCAGTGATTTCTTGGGTATTGTGCAAAATGAAGAAAAAATTTTTATTTTGGGTTTTGTTTTTATTTTTTTGAGTAGAGTTTTAAAAAAATTAGTAAAGATATAGATTATATTTAGGTAGGGCAGAAATAAGGAATGCCTATTTGATCTTCAGCAGCAAATATATGAGAGTAAGGCCTTACTTTTGGATTATGGTTCTGTTATATTAATGATAACTACTATTCTTTTGCTGTGTGCCATCTGCTTTACTAAGCACTGTACAGTACATAATCTCTCTATCACCCACATTATGAGACAGTTTTTGTTATCTCCATTTCACAAATGAGAACTGGAACTTGAAATATTTAAGTATATCTTCTAGGGTACTAGTGAATGATAGACCCATATTGGAACCAAGATCTACATATTTCCATAGTCTAGGTTTTTAACCATTGTGTTATACTGCCTCCCTGTTCACATATAAAGTATTTTTTGGTTTTCCTTCACTTTAAACTTAGCAAAAATAAAAAAGAGCTTTCAGGAAGCCTTACTTTTTATCCCTTTTTACTTTTACTGTTTTAGCACCACATTAAATACCAGCATTTGCTGAAGAAGAAATATGTATGTCCCCATCCCTCCTGTGGACGACTCTTCAGGCTCCAGAAGCAACTTTTGCGACATGCCAAACATCATACAGGTACTTTTTAAACTAAAATGTTTTTCAAGTATCTAAATGTACTGTACTTTACAGGTGCAGATTGGTGATGATGCAGTTTTTTATAACACATCTTTTTAAAAGAGTCTATAGTCAAGTGGGGGAGAAAGGTGTGAAAATAAAATGTAATAAAACAAATTTTATAAGGAATGAACAAACTAGTGCTTTTGGATTTTTATCCTTTGACTTCTATTCTTTATCCTGGTTTGTTTCTAATGAACAAACAAAGGTTTTTGAACCTTATCCTTTGACCAGGATAATGATTGTTTATTGAGCATGTAATTCTGTATTAACTGTGGACTAAACCCTTCACATATATTATTGTAATCTATCGACTTAACACCACTAAGTTTGCTTGTATTAGCCTTGTTTTATAGCTAAGAAACCAGAAGTTTAGCAGCATTAAGTAACTTGCCCATGGGTACATATCTAGTTTTTAGCAGAACCATTATTTTCTAATTCTGCTTCAGATAGATACTTGTAGTAGTTGTTATGGACTAAAAACAGGAAATATTGGGGAGAAAGTCTAAATGGTAAAAGGCTTGCTTATAGATTATGGTTAACCATTGAATAGTTCTTAGGACTTCTGCTGCTGTCAAAATCATAAAAGCTAACTCTTGAATTTGCATGCAAACTCTTGTAGAAATTGTTGATACAAAAAGAGAAGCTGAGTGTCTTTACAATGCATATTATAAAACAGACTCAAATTCCATTCATTTGTAGCCACTGATAATCAATGCAGTGCAGCTAATAGGGACAAATTAGGCTGGGTACATACCACTAATTGAGTATGGATCAGACACTTGGTTGTTAACGTATGTTTTCTTCTTAATAATCTTGAAGAGTAACACTAGGAATTCTAGTTGCAAATATATCATGTCTCCTGCTCAAGGTCCTACTGATGTAATGTACTCTTTCCTTTATTTACTGTATGTGTGACTTAGACAAGTTACTTAACTTCTCACTTTTCCTTATCTGTAAAGATACTAGTATTACAGAGTTATTGAAAAGATGAAATGAGATAATGTAAAGTGCTATTTACTGTACATGGTAGACTTTTTCAGAACATCAGGATTTGAACTTGGGTCTTAATCACTCAAAAGTCTACAATCTTTGCTTTATACCACGCTTCCTGAGAGAGAACACTGGACTGTCTCCACTCTGTTTCTTTATAGGTGCTGTAATTTCTTTGCTCCTCCTGCTCCCTGTTAATACTGTTTCATCTCATAGAAAAGTTGTTTCTGATAACCAGTTTACATTAGTTTAGCTAAATATCACAAGCCTACTATGAGAAACTGTTTTATAAATTCAGCTCATTCCAAGTAATTGTATTTTGTAATACAATTTTATGGTGTTAGTTTTCCTTTTGTGAGGAGATGTCTGGTTACCCCACTAGGTTAGAGCATGGTGCTGGTAACACCAAGGTCAGGGGTTCAGTTCTTCTTAACAGCCAGCTACCCAAAAAGAAAAAGAAGAAAAAAGTTTTCCTTTTGCAAATTAGTATATACAGACTCCCTTTGAAAATAATTTATTTAGCAAGTGGATGCCCCATCCAGGTTTGCCATGCTACTGTGAAGCTGGAAGAATGGACAAGAATGGGAAATGCTAAGAGTTGTCCCTGGATTAGAACTGTGCATTTTTTAGTTGTTGCTATACAAAATGTGGAACAGAGACCAACGTGCATTGGCATCACTCGGGTTCTTATGAGAGGTACAGAATCTCTGGCCTTACTTCAGATCTGGTGAATCAGCATATGCATTTAGTAAGATCCCCAGGTGATCCTTAAGTACATTCAAGTTTGAAGAAAACTTGACTCTTTTCCCACACTTGGTCCTCTCTGCCTCCCCACAATGGCTGGCCAGTACGGGGATCCAAACCTGTGACTTTGGTGTTATAAGACTGCACTCTAACCAACTGAGCTAACCAACCAGTACCTACACTTGGTTTTAAAGCATCTGGGAAAGAGTATAGGGTTAAATTGGATATTGTTTACCTTTTAACTTATTTGTGTTTTCCCTGTTACTATTTCTAGTAAATTTAAGTGGAAGGAGTAGAAAATGTAGCGGTCATTTATTCAACAAGTGTATGGTGAAATAAGTACAATGCTCCTTTGCCCCATGGATTCTGTACCATGTTACCAACTTGTCAAAAATCCAGTGGAAGGGGGGAGTGGTTGTGAAGTGACAAGGAGCTAGTGGGATGGTACAGAAGATGTGGGGTAGGAGAAAAAAGAAATACAAGTACTGTTTACATATAATTGATAGCAGTGACTCAAATCTTTGTGACAAGTTTGAGTTGTCTTGGGTAACATTTTTTGAACCTAGAACAGAGGGTATGATTACCATTTTAGATATGGATCAGTTTTCTTCTAGGTAATGCCAAATTTTTATTTTTATTTTGTTTCAATGCCAGATTCTTTCTATGTAAGCATTCAGTTTTCATAATCTGTGAAAAAACTGTTGTAAAGAATAAAATCTATGGAAAGAGTAGTGGTTTACTTGCTAAACAATTTATCCAAGATCTAGATTAGTTGTATAATTGAGATTAAGATTTCAGTTCCCATATTTCTATCTAGTTTTTCTTTTCTTTTTAAACAGGTTCTTAGGCTACTAAATGTATGGAATACTTTTTTTCAAAAAAGATAAAAATAGTATATTTCTTTCTAAAATTTTGTTTGCCCAAACTATTTATACATTGAAAACAGCATTGCTTCTACTATAAATTGACCTACCTGATCATCTGTTTACTTACTGTAAGCTAGGGAAAGTACTTAGAGTAAGTGGAACCCTAACCATATCATGTTTTCCTATTAGATCAAAGGGATTATATCTGTGAATATTGTGCTCGGGCCTTCAAGAGTTCTCACAATCTGGCAGTGCACCGGATGATTCACACTGGCGAGAAGCCATTACAGTGAGTATTTATTTGCTGGTGAACATCTGGGTGAGAAGTGCATATATACCACTTGGAGTGTTTGTCCCTTTATAAACATGTCAGCTGCCACAGCTATTTTCTTTTACCAAGTTAAAAAGTAGGTGTTGATTGAGGGAGCTAGTTTCCTAATTCTTCATAAGAAGTATATGTTACTGATTATTGTGTATATACTTGAGCTCTAAATTCTCACCCTGATGCCGAATATGCTCTTTATTACTGTGATCAGTCTTTTCTCTTTTACTTTACTTAGATGTGAGATCTGTGGATTTACTTGTCGACAAAAGGCATCTCTTAATTGGCACATGAAGAAGCATGATGCAGACTCCTTCTATCAGTTTTCTTGCAATATCTGTGGCAAAAAATTTGAGAAGAAGGACAGCGTAGTGGCACACAAAGCAAAAAGCCACCCTGAGGTGCTGATTGCAGAAGCTCTGGCTGCCAATGCAGGCGCCCTCATCACCAGCACGGATATCTTGGGCACTAACCCAGAGTCCCTGACACAACCTGCAGATGGTCAGGGTCTTCCTCTTCTTCCTGAGCCTTTAGGAAACTCAACCTCTGGAGAGTGCCTACTGCTAGAAGCTGAAGGGATGTCAAAGTCATATTGCAGTGGGACAGAACGGGTGAGCCTGATGGCTGATGGAAAGATCTTTGTGGGAAGCGGCAGCAGTGGGGGCACTGAAGGGCTGGTCATGAACTCAGATATACTCGGTGCTACCACAGAGGTTCTGATTGAAGATTCAGACTCTACTGGACCTTAGTCAAGGGAAGACTTTGGGCACTGGGACAGCTCAGACTTTGTATTTAAATGATAAAAAGGACAAAAAAAAATTTAAAGCATTTAAAATCTAGTAAAATAACTGAAGGGCCTGCTCTTTCCATTGTGAATCACAGCACACACACACATATACCCCATTCCCATCCCCTGTTCTCCCTCTGTTGTCCCCCTTATAAAATTGATGTTGTCTTTACCAGAAAGGTAGACAAAAAAGAAGCAGGAGCAGCTCTTAAATGAGTGTCATCCTCATACCAGTTCCAGCCAGTGTCAGACTTCTGCTCATCGGCACATCCCCTTTTCAACCTGTAACTGATGTGCTCTGGATCAGCTTTTCACTCTCAATAGTATATACTGTCTTCTAAATCCCTTCTCTTAATCTACTGCTGCCCATGGTTCTGGCTTCTATCCACTATGGCACATTTATCCTCAAATATTATAAAATTCTAAATCTCTGGAGGCTGGCAGCTTGACTTGGCACTTTAGGGCCCCTTAGCAGGGTGAGCTGTTAAAACAGCACATATCTCTCACCCCCTCTTCCTCCATTCCCCACTGGGTTTTGGAAAGGAAGGATACATGGTGACCACCTCCCTCTTCTTTGATTCCAGCACCTCAGTCCCCCTCCCAAAACCTCTATATGGCTCTCAGTGGTGCTCACTTGGCTTGGAAGCAGGCTCCCAAGAGGGAGGGGGTTGCCTTCTACACAGTCTCTTTGACTGCAAGACAGGGCTCTGTATCAGTGAGACAGAAAAGTCCAAGGCTAATGGCAGAAATTTGCACTTTGAACATGTGTGTTTTTGTGTTGTGGAACCTGAGATTCCTTATTTATTAACGGAAAGTCTGATTTCTTTTTCCTTTTTTTTGTTGGGGGTGGGTGGGTTTTGTTGCTGTATTTTGTGGGCCTGGGAGAGATTAGATTATTCTGAAAGGGGATCCTTTCCATGAGAGGTACTTTGAAGGCAAGACATAGGGTTGAAGAAGCACAGCCAGCCTCTAAAATCATAGCTCTCCAGTGGCCTTTAAAGAAAGCTGGTCCTCAGCACTAACAAAATCACTACAATATCCTAGTGTGTTTTTTGTTTTTTGTTTTTTTTTTTTTTTTGGAAGCCTTTCTAGGGAAAGATGCTAGGTCTCTGGTAATTAGTTATGCTCTTTGAGATTTTTAGAACATTGAGATTTAGGATTTTGAGGGGATGAGGAGGGTTGTGCAGGGTCTGAATTACAGATGAAAGATTTTCTCTTGCGAATTTATTTTCTTTTTTTGTCTCCACCGTTTCATTTCATATCTTCCAATTGGCCCAATTCTGGCCCCTTGCTTTGTTTTTTGCTTTGCTTTATCATTGGTTCATTCCAGTTCTCTGTTAGTGAAGGATACTGCCATTAGCGAAGGAATAAAGTCTGTAAGTCCTAAAGTTTAAAGTCAAAGAAAACTGCTTTGTTTTTTTTTCCCTTTCAGTAACACTTCAGAAGAGGAAACCTTCAATCGACAGAGTCAATAATCTATTTAATAATGGCTTTGACTTTCACCCAGAATTCTGGGAATTATTACTTCCCTTGGGATAGGGATTTTCATGGGGTGTGGATTACTGTTCATGGGAGAGAGACAGTGCTTTTGTACAAGTTCATACCTCACAGAAAACTAAAAATCTATTTTGGCTCATTTTTAGAGAACTAAAAGGGCAATTCCTATCCTTCTGTGTACCTCAGAAGCTGGAATTGAAGGCTTGCCTATTCATTGTTCATTGTCAGAAATGTATGATGGCTGTTGGAAAGAATGAAGTTTTGCTGAGAACAAAATAAGGAACAATTTGTTTTTCACAAACACTAAAACTACAAAGTTTATCAATTTTCTCTTTGATTTATTTTTTTCCCAAAAAAGAAGGGTAACAAAATGTCATCTCTGAAAGAGGCTTATTTTACACCCACTATTGCCAGTGGTTTGGGATGCCAGGGAATAGGGAGTGAGACACCTACAGCGAACAGTCTTAAATGCACTATTGTTTCTTTTCAGAGTGTTGCAGATTTGCCATCCCTCCAGTGTGGGGTAGAAAATAGAATAAGGATAGAAGGGTGTAGAATATGCTTTCCTGCCCACAGTAAGGGTTTAGAGTTGACTTTGGTATTTTGAGTAGATTTGAAATATATGGTTTATTGGATGGGTCCTCCGCAAAGTTGTTTCACCCCAAATAATTTCATTTTGTACTGTTTTACTAGCTAGCATCCGTATCTAACACTTAGCTTTTGTCTCTGTCACCCTTTGTCTCCATAAACTTCATTTGCGGTGATTAGTCATCAGATATTTTAGCCGCCTACACAAAAGCAAACAGCTTTTAAAGAAACCTCTTTCTGATAGGGGGAAAAGTACGTTCTTCCCTATACCATACTCCTCTCCCCACAAAAAGTTAGTTCTAATAATTAGGAACTTCTCATTTCTCCTTTTCTTTTTAGTACTCTTCATAGCTACTGTTGCCTACAATAAACTATTGTAGCAGATTGCAATACATTTTAAAGTATTTTTCATGGACTTTACATTTTTCCTTTTGAAAAAGGGGTGCTAACCTAGTAAAGAGTTGGTAAAAGTAAACTTTATGTGAGCCCTCTTCCCATTTTGTTTCTGTTCCCTGTACTGTTTGTTTTATTGTCCTTCCATGGAGCTCTTTTAATCTTAAAATTATGCATTTTGTACTCTTACAGATGTCACATTTTATTACCTTTTCAATAATTCTTCCCACTGCATATTCTTCATCTTGAGCTGGCAAATTCTAAATTGTGATAATATAGTTGAGAAACAGCTCTTCAATATTTCTGGGAGATGTGCTTCCCCCTTGTGTTTGGTTGCCCAGGGTTATTTTGCATAATTAAGACTTAAGATGCTTCAGAGAATTTAGACAAACATTGGTCAAGAGTACTGGGAGTAGAAAAAAAATTAAGGTATAGAAAAGCATCCACATAGAGCACTTGAACCTCCTTTGTACCTGTTTGGAGGAAAAAATATAAAAAGTATACTACCAACATAACTAAGGTTATTACAGTCTGGTTGAAGTACCATTTTTTCTTCCTCCTGTCTTTTTCCCACTTTCCAATGTACTCAAGAAAATTGAAAAATTGTAATGGATCAATTGAAAATATTTTATTTCCTAAAAGCCTTTTTTGCCTGTTGTAATGTGCAGGACCCTTCTCCTCTGATGGGAGAGACAAGATAGTTACCTGAATCTAGGTCGAAAAGGTTATGTAAAAAGAAATTATAATAAAAGGGATACTTTGCTTTTCAAATCCTTGTTTTCTCTTAATCTAGGTAAGGCATATCCAAAATAAATATGTTAAGAAGAAAAATAAAAGTTGTCTTCATGGAAGCAACTTGTCTTCCTTGGTTGTATTAAGTTACAGTTATCCTAGGGGTGAAACAATTGATGCTGCTAAATGAGAAAACCAAGGGCTCTCAGAGCAGGTGTTTTGTGGGGTGTACTGTTTGCTGTCATTGAGAATCAGCTAGTTAGCTTTTGACTCGGTTTAGTTCTTGATTTCTAATGCTGAAATGCCATATGATTCTGTGATCAGTTCAGCAAACTTAAAATCTCTTTGATGTTTTGATAGCTTTCTCCTTGCAAAAGTGGCCATATTAACCTAGTAGAGATTAATTAAGGATGCCATGAGGTTAATTTTAGTCTGGTAATGATAAAGCTTTGATGGCATTTAATTTAATATCAGTGCTTCTTTACAAAACTCAGTGTCCGTATCAAGTACTAACTTTAAAGAAAGAAAAAATGTAATCCTACCTTCTTAAGAGTCCTACTGTGACAGCCGCCCAGGCCTCATTTCTTTCTCCCTTATATTTCTCATATTGTTTGCCTATGTAAATTTGCTCTTAAGAGGGCATGTGTTTCTGCTTATTGGCAACCACTATGATGTGAAATAGTGAAAGCTAATTGATTCATTTGGAGTTGGAACTTGCAGCCTTTACCCATTAGCATCATCCTCTGGGTTAAATGCAATAGAATGACAACTCTCCAGGAACTTTTTTAACTCTTTTGCCTTCATTTCAAAGCCCAACTTCCCCTTACTTTGTTAAGAAGCATATGGTATGACTGGGATAGGGAAGAAAAGGAAAGCATGTTGTCACTTGAGTGAGACTGCCTTAGAAATGTTACCAAGTTAGGGTTGGGTGTTTCCTGTCCTTTGGAAGAGAACAGGCCTAAACAGTACCTTCCTCATCCTATAGCTAGGAGGAAGGCACCATGATTGAGATTAGAGATGCTTTCTTAGTTGATTTTTAATCAAGTGTTAATTAAGCTAACTTTAAAAAATACCAAAAGGATGGGGATGAAAGATGCTGTTATTATTAAAGGACCTATTTCACACAACCTTTGTTTCTTCAACAAAATGTGAAGTACATAAAGAATGAAATTAGAAAGTCATTGGGAGAAACAACTATAGAATCAAAGACCTTTATATTTAAACAAGAGCCTACTTTTTGGATCTTATCCACATAATTTCTTCAAGTTTCAGTTTCTTCTTACATAAAATGGGGAAAATAATATTTACCTCAGAATTATTCTCAGGCTCAAATGAAGTTTCTTTAAAGCCTTTTAGCACAGTGTCTGACCAGTGGTAGATGCTTAATAAATGGTAGCTATATCAATAATAATTAATATTATTGAATATTTTGTCAGGCCAAAAGAAAAGGACATGGGGAGCATAAGAAAGGGTGATAAAATGAACTAATTATATGTGTATATGAAATAGATTACATTAGGCAGGGGTGTCATGAGGATTAGTGTGATAGTGACCTTGTTGCTAAGTGCAAAAGCAAAACAATGACATAAAAACAAGTGTGCTAAGTACTAAGTGGAGAAGAAATGGAGGCAAACACTGTAGGGGAAAAAAAAAACTGATTAAAAAGGGCCCTTTGATTCCACAAGCACAAAAATCCACAGCCAGGAATTTGCTGCCACCTCTGAGTCAGGCAGGGGGTGGGGGTGGGGGTGGGGTGCACAATCCCATTAGTAGAGAATGCCCAGTGGATTTAGTCTGTGAGAGTCACATTTCTTATTTGGACCAGTGTAGACAGAAGCAAACCCAGCTCACTTGCTTCCTGGGACAGTTGAGTTAGGGGATGGCTTTCACAGAGCATTCATCACTGACCCCTCACCGCCGGGACCTCTGTAGCCGCTCTATCTGGCTAGCAAGGAAGATTCGTTCAGACCTGACTGCTGTTATGGAATCTTATGTAAGTTGCCTGTTTTGCTGTTGTCTATTTTTCCTTCATCTCTTCAGATCCAGCCCCTGACCGTCATGCTCTAGTCCCATTATGAATTATTAAAGCCCTGATCATGTAGTCATTCATGAGTTGTGTACCTATTATTTGACATGGTCCCTTCCCTTGAGAAAACTCATGTGATCTTTGGTTATTCCTCCAGGGTGTTTAAGAGACATGTTTCTTAAATGAGAAAATACATACGGGGTTCTAGGTAGGATTTGCTATATGTCTTTGAAGTTGTTCATAACTTGGTTGCCTATATTCTGAATCCTACCAGAATAACCAGAGGCCCTCCAAGTTTGGGTTCTTCATAGACATTGTTCTGAATTTTTGAGCTATGTAAATGAAAGGCAAGTTTATAGGATAGGTGGGAGGAAGAGCAGTATGAACTTGGATGAAATTTGTAAATCTAACCAATTCCTCCTATACAGCATTAGCCACCACACATCAAAATTGTCCCTGTATCTAAATAAGTCACCTAAGCTATTGAAAGGATCCCCTGAAAGATGTATTGGGAACTTGTGGAAGTGTCAGATTCTTAAGGAGCTAACCATGGAGTTCCAGATTGGTTTTCCGACAGGGAGGATCCCTATCAGTCTTCACCTAAGGCCTGCTTTGGAAATATTCCAGTCCCCTCTGGAGAGTTCTGAATTTAGATTCTCTAAGAATTGGTTTGTCTTTGTACAGCCTCACCAGTTAGAAATCAGACTCTGCTTACCAATTTTTTTTTTTTTTAACTAATCCTTATTGCCTTTTCTAAAGGGTGGACCTCACACCATTTAGAGTGAGCAATGGGAGAGGAGAGAGTTTAGAGAAATTCTACAATAGCTACATTTTAGGGCTTCCTAGGTATAGCCAAGTGTCTTCAAGTATGTTTAAAATACTTAAACTCCAGTGTGATTAAAATATTTCAGATCCTAGGAGAGAGTTTAAAGTGGGAAAGAAATATTCTTCCAAATGTTTTCAACCTTTAGAACTCAATGAAAGCTGAACGTTCTCTTAAGAAGAATGTACAGATATCCAATTTGAGGGAGAATTGGGTCTTTCTGAAGTCCAGTCCTGAATCCCAAATGAAAAGTTCCTGTTCTAGACATTTTATTTTCTTTACAACTTGGAATCTTGACCAGAGAGGTGAATGAGATTTTACATGGGATTTATGGGCAATTTAACTAAGGACATTGGGGCGATTACAGAAGATGTGATGTTTTCCTGTATCCTTGATCAGGTGAAGCATCAGGGTCTGAACAAGAACATCAACCTGGACTCTGTGGATGGCGTGCCAGTGGCAAGCACTGATCGGTGGAGTGAGCTGACCGAGGCAGAGCGACTCCAAGAGAACCTCCAAGCTTATCGTACCTTCCATGTTATGTTGGCCAGGCTTTTGGAAGACCAGCAGGTGCATTTTACCCCAGCTGAAGGTGACTTCCATCAAGCTATACATTCCCTTCTACTCCAAGTTGCTGCTTTTGCTTACCAGATAGAGGAGTTAATGGTGCTCCTGGAACACAAGATCCCCTCCAGTGAGGCTGATGGGATTCCTGTTGTTGTTGGAGATGGTGGTCTCTTTGAGAAGAAGCTGTGGGGCCTAAAGGTGCTGCAGGAGCTTTCACAGTGGACAGTGAGGTCCATCCATGACCTTCGTGTCATTTCTTCTCAACAGACTGGGATGCCAGCACATGGGAGCCGTTATATTGCTAAGGACAAGAAAATGTAGCAGTTAGCTTCCTTGCTTTCTTTTCTAAGGGAATATACAAGTTCTCTGGGTCCTCATTTTCCCATCTTAAGTTTTTGAAAACCTTTAAGACCACAGGCATTTTCATCAGATAGGGTTGGACACATGCACAAATGGGCATACAGGTTTAGTCTGGGTTGGGTGCGTGCGTGCGTGCGTCGGTATGTGTGTGATGGAGGATGTAGGGAAATGGGAGTGGGGACAGCATTCTTCCACCTCAGTGCTCTGACCTTTCTAACCACTAATTAACCTTTATAGGCATTTGACAGCCTTACAGACAGATAAATATTTTAACTCTAGTTCTAGGTGTCTGAGCCAGTGAATTAAAACTCATGTACTCTCTACCTAATTTAAATTCTTAATTAATAAAAATAATAGCTAGCATTTATGGAATATGTACTATATTGAGGCATTGTGCCAGTATGTATGTTATGTATAACGTCTACAACAACTTTGTAAGGCAGGTGGTGTTATTCCCATTAGGCAGATGATAAACAGGCTCACAGAGGCTTGGTTAAGGTCACACGGCTAGCAAGTGCCACACTAATTTGAAAAGATCTTTCTCAGTGTAAAGCCTATGTGCCTTTCACTTTAGAGGCTTAATTATGAACCTCTTATTACTATATCTCTTTGTCACACAGGGTTGGAAGATGTACCCATGTAATCTATCCCCAGCACTAGAAAACAGCCCCCATTACATAACCTCATAAGTCAGCAGCAAATTTTAGTGTTAAAAGCAGTATTTGTTGCCTGTACTTGGCAAAAAGAGCAGCTGGAGATAATAAGATTCCATTTGGGGGAAAGATTAGGCCCACCAAACTTCTGAGCCTTGGAAGCTGGGGATGTGTTTTAATACGGCCTAGTTTAAAGTATCCAAGAACTAATGAATGTCTTTGAATATAGGCTTGGGCACAGCTTATTCCACATTACCTCATGTTTACTGTAATCAGTGATGCAGTGGTATAGGCACTGGAACCCAAGCGTTTATGGAAAAGGGTGGAATACTACTCAGGTTAAGAAGTCACAGAACTCCTTCACCACACATTCTCTGGACTTAGTCATGAAAAGAGGGTGAGTCCCACTGTGTTCCCACTGGGAATGCCAAAGATTCTGAAACAATATACAACAAAGACTTTGTGCTGTGCAGCAAAGGGGCAGGGCTCTGCATTTAATGTCCTTTGAGAACCACACAGTACAGGTTGAGTATCCCTCATCTGAAATGCTCGGGACCAGAAGTGTTTTGGATTTTTTTTCACATTTAGAATATTTGCATTACTTACTGCTTAAGCATCCCAAATTCAAAATCCAAAATGATCCAATGAGTATTTCCTTTGAATGTCATGTCAGCGCTCAAAAGTTTCAGATTTCAGAGCATCTTGGATTTTGGATTTTTGAATTCATGATGCTCATCCTGTATGAAGGAGTGGTAAATATGGGCTTTAGTGAAAAGGTCATTTTTAGTGAGGCCTGTGAACTACTGGTGCAATAATAGAAACTCAAGATTTTGGATTGGAGGCCCAAGTCAATTTAGTTTAATTAATTGAGGCTTTGGGGGGGGGTGGTTGAGTGGTTTTTTTGGCAGCTGGTACAGGGATCTGAAACTGTTACCTTGATGTTATAAGCTGCTCTTTAGACAACTGAGCTAACTGGCCAGCCTGCCTTCTGTGTTCTTAATTGAACCATACGTCAGAGAGGGCCAGCTCCCATAGGTTGCATGAGGAGGGAGTGACTTAGCTTATATCCTTTCCCACATGGTTTCATGTCCAAAATTTCATGAAGTCAATGTTACAAGAGGATTCTGGGCTAGGCATTGTGACAGTTCAGGGGGAAGTAAGGCCCTGCTTCTTAGTATGCATTTGTGGAAATACATTTATATGTATATAAGGTAAGAGATCCATACTAGATTGTAATTATAAGTCCCGGGTTTAAGTGGTAGGGAGTTAAAGTAAGGAGATCAAAGAGGGCCCAAAATACTTCATGCAGGAGGTCGGAGTTGTGTCTCAGAGATTGGCTGAGCACAAAATAGAGAAGAATCAGGCGGAGAGAAATGGAAGAATTGCCAGCATAGAAAAAAGTTAGACAATATTAAACATTAGGGTCTAGCTACCACTAGAGGCTTATTGTTTGATTTTATTTCATTTGTAATTTGGTTACAGGTATTTGTCTCCCCACTGTATGTAGAGAGGCTCATTTTATTCAAGCTTTTCCTAATTTAAAGTGTTTCTTCTGCTTAACAGCATTTTTGATTGATAAAGTATTTGCTTATTAACATGAAGCTCTAAGATTTAGCTAGATAGTATTTTTGTTTAATGGAGCAAGATGTGATTAAAATTTCTTAGTGGGGAATAACTGATTATGAATTTGCTGGATCTGAAATGAATATTTTCGTATTCAGCAGATGTGTCAGAAGTTTCAGAAATCAACGGAGTCTGGCTTAAGCTCTGCTGAGTTGTGCTTATGAAAGATTATGTATGTATAAGAAACAGATTTGAAGTGGTAGAGTGTTCAGAAAAGGTACAAGTACTGACTATTGAATGGGAGGAGATAGGTAGATGTGTAACTCTCAGTTAAGTCACAGAAGCAGCAAGTCTTTACTGAGTGCATTCCTAGCACTGTGCTAAGAGCTGTGTATCAGATTCTCGTTCAGGAAACTCGCAATATGCCTCAAAAGAAGTATGGAGAAACCTGAGAACTTAGCGATATAAACACGTATGAGATCTAAATGTGTAGACATTGCCTCATGCTTATCTAAAATAGATAAATCAAATTGAATAAGGGACTGAAAATGAGCCAGTGTTCTAGGTAGGTGTCTTATAATACCAATAATGTTGACACTCACTGTACATATTTTCTAAGGATTCTCAACCCAAAAGAGATTTTTGTTCTTTTGATTTTATTCCCTTGGTTCTTAGATCTACATAAGGATAGGATCTCTGGGAAATCATATATGATATAACTATATAGGTAGAGTTATAGTTATCAATAGGGTGCATAAATTTAGTTTCTTCCCTCTAACTCTTAACTTGTGAAAAGGATTCCTTCCATCCCACTGCCTCCAGAAAAGTTTTGTCTGCGGGGAGAGAAAATTTCGTTTTCCTGAGTCTATCAAGGAATTGCATGGATGAGATTTGAGAAATTTTTCTTGCATGAAGAGGATGATTTGGAAAAGGCTTGCAAATTAGCCCAAACTTGAAGGCCAACCATGGAATAAAATTAACTTAAGATAATCAGGTTTGAGACAAACGAGAGTTTTAATGAAAATGGAAAGTATAAAGTCATAGCCCTGGAATTGCTGTTATTTCAGGCTGCTGTGGATTAAAGCCCAATGGATGACTCATTGTTGTAACCACTGGTCAAACGGAGAAGACAAGTAAATACTTCAGGGAGACATATCTGAAAAGTTGTTTAGAATGACTTTTGATTGTGAATCCTCAGCTCTTCCTAAGGTACCTGAGCATCATCTCCCTTATTAAGAGGTAATATAGAGATGTAGGAAGCAGAGAACCTCCACCAGGATGAGAAAGGGAATAATGAAGAGGAAAGAGGGAAAAAAAGTAGAATTTGTGTTTCACTTCAACTGATTTATTGTGTGTGTGTGTGTGTGTGTGTGTATGAGAGTGAGGGTGATACTAACATAGTGCTTAGGCCAGGGCATTCTTTAAAAAGAATGGTTTGGCCTCCTGCCTCATCCCACCTCTACTTCAAGCATCAGACCCAAGAATGAGCCCTTTGAATGTCGGTGCATTTAAAAAGTAAAATATGAAAAATAATAAGTGAAAAATGATTTAAAAAACATCTTTTTGGATCAAAAGCTTCTATAGAACTCTGAGGATTATAGATAAAGACAGTGAAAAGATAATTTGATCTTTTGACGAAATGTGTGTGGAGTGTAAGATAAGAAAATTCATGTGCTTGGGATTCTTAACACAAAATATATTACTTGGATTGATCTATTTTTGGCACATAGAAAATAAAAGATGCAAGAATGGCTAACAATAAAGTTATCTTCTCAGCAAGACCATGAGTTCCTTCTTTTATTTCTGTATCTTTGGATGAACAAGGGGAATTTGAAGTGATTTCAACACTGGATGAAATGTAATCCTCCCGGCCAGGGCCAGGTTCAGTCAAGCGTGCCGGGTAAATCTCCATCATGCCAGGGCAGTGGGCAAAACTCCCAGAGCCAGTCGGCCTAGAAAAGGTAGCTTGCCCTTATGCCACCAGGCCAATGCTGCTTTGCCCTCTGGATATATAGTCCTATCAGCTCGCCTGCAAATAAGGAAGAGTTACTTTTAAATGGCTTAATTTCAAGTATTTGCCCCCCAATTAAGCCTTTGACTGAAAGAGAAAAACTAACCCATTTTTAGTCAGTTTGGAAGTAGAAACAGTTGTGGACAATTATAGAGAAAAATATGAAAAGTTGCTGAGGGATTCTGTATTTCTATCCACATGTTCAAGGTAGTATGAAAGGAGTAATGCATTTACTTACCATGTCAGGCAGCTTTATGCTATTTTATGTCATTTAGCCTCCATCACAGGTGAGGAAAATGGGAATGAGTGTTAACTTGTCCAGGTTCCCTCTTCCAGCATATGACAGGGCTGGCGTTTTAATTCTAGTTCCAAAGCTCACCTCCCCACACCCCATGCCACAGGACACATAGTAATTGAGATCATCTTATTCTGAAGTCCATTCTGCATTTCTGTAATTCACTTCCTTTGAATAAAGCCAGTACAAAATTGTACCAAATCTTGCTCTGTAACAAAGTCTATATATAAATTCCAAACTTTGGGACAAGTCAATTTTTCTGAGCCTCCTCATTGATGAAATGGAAATAATAAGTAGCTAACTTCACAGGTTGTTAAGTGGTTTAGACAAACTGAATATCTGAAAGTACTTGTAAATGACATACAAACATCACCAAGTATATTTAATGTCTCAGGTAGCTTGGATTCGCATTAGAGTTTGGATTGAGGAGGAAGCTCTGTAAATATCTCAGAGAATGTCTGTTGCTTCCCCAAATTGATCTGTCACAACCTAGACTTCACCCTGTTGTGCCCATTGGCCTTCTGCCATCAGAAGCTGACCCAGTCTCACTCAACAGCCTCCAGGAATCATCCACTTCTCTGGAGAGTTGAGACCCAGCCTGTATCCAGAAGATGGCTTTCACAGTAGGTGGGGTCAGACAAGTCCTGGAGTTGCCTGGCAGGCTCTAGAGGGAGCCAAGGAAACATGCAAACCAGGGCGCCACCCAGGATGTGTTCAAGCATGCACTGAGACTTAGAGTCAT